ATTGATCAAACAGCTTCAGGACTTCACCACTCATTACAGTAGTCAGACTAGCCAAAAAAATAACGCCACTACAGATGCTAAAGAGAAGTCGCGAACGGTGCCGGATTTCCTGGGACAGCCATTCAGGTACATATGGCAGGGAAAACGGCTTTCTAAACATGGTCACTATCAGAGTTATTCATAACCAGCAAGCACCAGGGGCCGTATGCTATACTTCCCCTCGAAGGGGAGATATCCCCCAGTAAATCTCCGCTCTCTGCCGTTCTCTCTATCGATGCCCCTCGTCTCTCTGCTTCTGCCTCTCTGCATCCTTGCTCCCCCACTCTCGCGAAATCTCCCCCAACGACATTCGCTGGGAGAGGGGAGCATATCGATTATACTCTGCGCTGCACTATATTCGCACAGAGCATGCGGCAGAAGGGTATGGATGCAGAGTGGCGAGAGCGAGAGAAACGACGGCTATCATTAGGGATAACGGCAGGGAGTGGAGGTTCAGAAAGGGATATCTCCCTTTGAGGGGAGTATAGCATACGGCCCCAGGATATACCGATGATTATCGATTACCGTTTTTGCCTTCCTCTTCATCGTCGTCTACCTGGCCATCTATACTTATCCATTCGCTTTCCATGGCGACGTTTGTGTCCATGTATGCTCGGAGTTTTACTTTGTAAGGGACGTTCGCTCTCAGGATACCATTGCAGTACTGAAAAAAATCGGGGAGCGCATAAGGTTGCTGTGGCATGATAGTTGTACTTATCGTTACCAACCGGTTCATCAAGACTCCGTCGAACACAATCATCACTTCCTATTGTGAATGTGGCTTCCTTCGAGGATTTTTTGAACGGGTTCCAAATAGACGGTGATGCTCTGAAATTTGGAAAAAGAATAAGAATAATGGGTTCTCAATACACAGTCAAATCGGAGCCGTGCCAATCAGAAAAGCACACGTGGCGCATGTAGTAGCAACGGTAGTAGATATCTGACGTACAGTGACGTAGAGAGTGTGGCATAGGAGAGAGCAAGCAGTACAGGATCAGGTTGATCCACCTCTAATCCTTTTCTGTGTGTCGCACTAATGTGAGAGCCCCACAGCCAATTACTGACCCAATCGCGACGCGGGGCTTATTCTTGTTTCACGGACATTGCAATGGGGGGGGTCGTAATTGCTCGTTGTTGAGAGGGGGTCGTATTTGCCTTCGGACTTTCTGGGAGAGGTTGCTGACTTTTCGGAGTTTTCGTTTTTCTCCTTTTTATGTGCACTGTGTACCTCCTACCCCACCCCGCTCGAACAGCAAAATTTCGGGAAATTCTGGAAAACTGGTAGGAGTTGGGGGAAAATCTAAGAAAATGGTAGATAGAGGGGGTCGCATTTTCCCGCGGTTTTCCCCGTTTCACATGTGGCCCATCCTCCCCGTCGAACTCGATGAGGGAGGGAAAGGGGCTTGTTACCACCCCTAAAAAGGGACGGGGGGTCGTACGGACCCGACCAAAATCCCTAATCAGTGATGTGCCCTGATATCAATGTACCTATCATAACTGCGACGCATGCCGAAATTTCGGAACTCCTTTTTGAAAATCGGTCACCTCCGTTTGGCCTCACGGTGCGCCGTCTTCTCCTCATTGACAGTTCCCTTCGATGGGGTGGTTTCTGTTACCACAACAATTTTACTCCAAAATTTGCACTACCTAGCTTTCCTTTCCAGTTTCTCGTCAATAAGGCCACTCGTTCAAGTGATCGAAGTATTCTCTGCTATTTTCTCTTCAACTTATCGCCTTTTCGGAACGGATAAACCCCGTCCACTGTTCCGCTCATTGTTACCTGAGGTCAGTTGGTATCACGTTCGATCTACTTGTACATTTCTGAATCAAAGCTTTTTTGTGGGTTTATTCTCGCGTCCGGAACCTCGAAGCTGATTATGATTGAATCTGGGCTGAATCACACTTATTTCCATCGTCGATCTCCTCGCTATCGTTACAGCTGTGCCAGTAAAATAGCGTCGATTCCGTATCAGCAAGCTCATTTTTCTCCTTTC